TTACCTTGGATGTTTCCTCGGACGAGTGAACTGCGTGAAACCTGGATTTAAAGTTTTCTTTTCGTCGGCCAGAGCTCACAGCTTTAAGTTCGATTTCAAACATCACAAATCGTGAATCCAAGCTCTACCTGCGCCGCCATGACAAGCCCCTCGCGCCGGCCGTCCTGGGGCCAATCAGCGCTGACTACTCAGGGAAAGCAGCCCAAATCCTTGACACTCGAAGAAGTACAAACGCCATAAACACAATTTGTTGGCGCTCCGCGCCTCTCTTGGATCAGCGGTGGGCTCTCCTGGCGGCGCCTCCGGCGCCGCCCTTGGCGCGCTCCGCGCGCCAGGGAGGGGGTCCAGCGCAGCTCCGAGAAGTCCACGCGAAACGCAAGTTTTATGTTTATGGCGTTTTTTCTTTTTTCAGTCACCCGCTGGGCGGCTAAGGACAGAAAGCCCGCGCCAGGACGCATGGACGGAACCATGTACCAATTGGGGCACGCAGAAGTCCATTGTTTGCAAAGCGTTGCCCAGTTCACTCTCGACCCAGCAGACAAACGTAGTTTGGATCCGCGGAGCCATGTGTGAAACCGGCGATATCGTAGTCGCGCCATCCAGGCCACACTTGCACAAGACGAGCTCCCACAGCCTGGCTCACGGCCCCCTCTTGAGGGCCCTGAGGGCGATCATATCCAGGAAGGCACTGGCGAAGCGGGGGCTAGCTGGGCATGCGCAGCCACAGACGGTGCTTGCACGCGCCAGGCCCACCCGCTCCTCTCCAGGGCGGGTCTCGGAATTTACTACGGGCTGGATAATTTGCGAAGCCATCCGGCTCGAGTTCACGTCTTGGCTGAATCCTAGCAGAGGGCAGAGACCCTCGCCATGCGCCACCTTGTGGCTATAGCTGAGAGGCCTGTCCACATTTTCGTAGACAGCCGAGCCGTTGTCGACGGATTCGGTGACCTTTCCAAAGGGAAGCCGCCGCCAATCAGGGGGGCCAGGCTGACTTCCGGCAGCAGATTTACTGCGTGTTTCCAGCCAAACCCGGCATGCTCAAGGTCCAAGAGTCGAAAGCCACGTCGGCGAACAAGGAGTTCGCGAAGGCCGCATCACACTTATAGCTGACACTCCCGACCTTCATGCCGATGAATTTGCCACTGCTGGAGCACGCCCGCGCACTTTGCAGCCAGGTCGCCTCGACGCAGCTCAATGGCGACACCAGTTCGCGGCGGTGTTGCGCAGCTCCTCAGCCTCGGAGCGATATTTCATCGGAGCCTCCATACCTCCCACCTGCCAGACCGACGGGCGGGATGCTCAAAGGCCGAATTTAGCGCGATGAAGCCCAACCCGCTCGCCATAGGGCAGCGAGCCACCAGGCTCACCAGGGGACCCTGCTCAGCCGCATGGCCCGCCAGGGCCTGACTTCTTGGACGATCTCGATCGTCCTTGGGGGGACTCACTCGACGACTTCGAAGGCGATGACCAGGGCCCACTCGGCCTCGGAGCGCTCTTGAACGGCGACGCTGTAAACAACGTTGTGCACCAGGAGGTCGCATTAGTCATGGGCATGATGCGGACGACGAAAGCACAGCCTGGCGTCAGTCTAGGCTCTCAGATGCTTCGGCTCACGAGGCGGACGTCCACCAGGACCTGGCCCTTCGAGCCGGCCTAACCCACCACTGGGTCACGCCCCCCGGCCACCACAGGGCACGAAGAACAGCGGACCGCCAGCAGCTCGAGGCGGACTGGTCTTCGGCCGAACGGTGACGCAACGAACGGGCCGAAGGACGCAAGGCAACTGCCAGAGGGGGCAGGCGTAGCGGCCCCCATCACCAGCATCACGGGGCTGCAGCAGCGAGCCAAGCGCTTTGCTGAACGAGCCAAGCCATCCATCCCTGGAAGAGTCTACTTCGCGATGCACGGTGTCAACCGAGCGCAGGCCGCCTGGAATGGACTTCAACAGGCCTTCCGCCGAACCGCGTCTCTTGGGTTCTCCCTCCACGGAAACCTCCAGGTGCACCTTGGTACCCACCGCTCAGCACACCAGTTCGAGCGTCCTCTCTCAGGAGTGCGCTGCGAAAACACTCGGCAACTACTCCGTAGCTGCCACACTGGGCCGCCGGGGGATGTCCCACAGCGGCGCCACGGTTCACTGAGGCACCGGGGCGCTCACGACAAAGCGCGCTGGCAGCCGGCGCCTGTGTTTCGGGTGTGCAGACAGGCTCTCGAATTCTGGTTCACCTGACACCCGCTTTGCTTTCCTGTCGAGGTCCTTCTCGACCGCGCCAAGCGGGAGGGTAGCATTGCGGCGCTTCCCGCTTCTAGAGGCAAGCTTGCGCAGCCCAAGCCCGCTGTGGGGCCTGGACCAGACCTGAATCGAGCTGGTGCGCGCTCTCTCTCTCTCTCTCTTGATGCTTTCTTCTATACGCACATATATCTATGTATAGTTATACTTGTCCTATGTTCCCCCTTTAAATCTGAATAGCTTTACCCCTGCATGACTCCTTCTCTCTCCCCTTCTTAGATCGTCTTCCCTCCTTCTCTGCGCCCAGACTTTGGCCAGTGCGTAGGCCTGGAAGACGGAGGGAAGGGGGAGAGGGAACATCCCAGGGCAAGGGGGTGAGGGTTCACGGCATGGGGGGTGAAACGGGATCCGGAATGGGGGGTCACGGGCGGCCGAGAGCACGCGCTTGTTGGAGCCAGGGTCCACGCTCCAGGGGTTGAAGAAACGCGGCTGCCGGAGCCAGGGTCGTCCTACAGACCAAACATGTGCGCATGGCTCCAGAGAAAAACAGTGCACGCACCACCTTCCATCGGCGTCACCCCAGCATACTAAAACGATGTGGGCGTCGCCCCCCCAGGGGCGACGCGCGCACCGAGGAATCTCATAGTACATGCGTCCTGGCGGGCGCTTTCTGGCCACACCGCTCGGGAGACGATATACTACAAGATGGTATGCTATATGTTCGGGTCGGACGCCCGCCTCCACGGAGGACATCTAGTATTAGAGAAAGAGCGCGTTCTGTGGTCGCTTGGAGGGGGGTGGGGGTTGGAACCGGACCCCCCCCTCCCTCTCCCCTACTTCTTCTCTCACCCTCTCCTCGGTCCGGCGTCGGCGTCGGCTGGCGGCGGCGGCGGGGATGGTAGTGGTGGTAGTAGTGGTGGTGGTGGTGGTGGTGAGGTGGTTTGTGGTGGTTGTGGTGGTGGTGCTGCTGCTGCTGGTGGTAGTGGTGGTGGTTGTGGCGGTGGTTGTGGTGGTGTGGTAGATTGTGGCGATGGTGGTGGTAGTGGTGGTGGGTTGTTGTATTGGTGGTGGTGGTGGTGGTGAGCTGTTGTGGTGGTGGTGGTGGCTGTGGTGGTGGTGGTTGTGTGGTGGCTTGGTGGTGGTGGTGGTGGGTTGAGGTGGTGATGGTGGTGGTGGTCGTGGTGGTGACGGTGGTGGTGGTGGCGTGGTGGTTTGTGGTGGTGGTGATGGGCTGTGGTATTGGTGGTGGTGGTTGTGGTGCTGCTGGTAGTGGTGCTGGTGGTGGTGGTGGTGGGTGGTGGATGGTCGTGGTAGTGGTGGCGGTGGTGGTGGTTGTGGTGGTGGTGGTGTGGGGGTTTGTGGTGGTGTTGTTGATGGTGGGTTGTGGTGTTGGTGGTGGTTGTGGCGGTGGTGGTGATGGTGGTGGTAATGGTGTGGTGGTTTCTGGTGGTGGTGGTGGTAGTTATGATGGTGGTTGTGGTGGGTTGCGGTGCGTTGTGGTGGTGCTGGTGGTGGCGTTTTTGGTGGTGGTGGTGGTGAGGTGGTTTGTGGTAATGGTGGTGGTTGTGGTGATGGTGGTTTGTGGTGGATGTGGTGGCGGTGGTTGTGGTGGTGGCGGTGGTGGTGGTCATGGTATGGTGGTCAGTGGTGGCGGTGGTGGTGGTGGTAGTGTGGCCTTCGGCTCTTCCCGCCACTGTGTTTTGGCGAATGGTCAGACTTCTAATGGAGGCATCTTGAGGTCTCGTCAGAAGGGTCTCGGGGGCGTCTGAGGAGCATGCGAGGGCTCGGCATGGCGATTTGTATGTTCCCTCTACGGCCTTTGGGCCCTCTCTGGTCATCGTCGCTGCGTCCCCGCCGTCGGCGCTGCTGGCCGCCGCCAGCGCCGTCGCCGGCGCCAGCGCGGGGTGGGGTGGGGGGGAGCTTGAACCCCCCCCCCTCCTGGGCCCTCTCTGGTCATCGACGCTGCGTTGGCGCTGCGGAAGCCGCCGGCGCTGGTGCCGTCGCTGGGAGGGGGGGGGCGGTTTGGACCCCCCCCCATTCGGGAAGCGGGGGGGTTCGGGAGGGGGGGTGCTGGGTTGGACGGGAGTCCCCCTGGTTCTGATCGACGGCGCCGAGTGTTGGGGGGGGGCCATCCCCCGGTTCGAAACGCGCCGTCGAATGTTCCCAAGCCGTTCGCCCGTGAAACGCGCTCTCTCAGTATGAGTATGTTTCTGTGCGTCCCATTCCCGCCTTGGCGCAGAGATCCGCTATGGGAACTGCCGAACACCGCGCAGAGGTCCAGCGGCCACCTCGGCGGAGTTCTGGGCATGCTCCCAGCGTGGGCCGGGCGGGCCCCAGGGTCCAGGCGGAGCCGCTCCGGTGATCAGTGGGAAACCGACCCCGGCCCCCACAGCAGTGGATTTTACACGTCGGCGTTTTTCAAGTCTGGCGAGTGTGCGTGAGTGTAGGCGCCGTGTGAGCGAGGCCGCTGCCAGCTGCCGCTGGGGGTGGGCCCCGCGCGCGCGGTCCAGTTGGTCTTGAGTTCCTCACGTGGGGGGCGGGGGGCGGTCTTCACGCGTTCATCCTGGGCGCCACCCGCACGCTTCCAGGGCGTCCTGGGGCGCTCTGAGGAGGCAGCGGCGCCCGATGCGTCGTCCTCCCGAGCTGCTGGGTCTCAGAGGTCCCCGGTCTGTCGCGGTCCGATGTTGTCCCCGTCTGGGCCTCGTCTCAAGAGTCGCCGCCGCCGCCGCCCGCGTTCCGACCAGCCGCCCGCCCCCGCCAATTCCCGCAGGCCCAGCTCCGGGCGAAGGTCCAGGCACAGGGCGCGGCCATGGAGGCGGGGCTGGCTGGATGCGGAGCCCAGAGATCGGGACGATCGAACTGGACACGGAAAGGATGGGCAGGAAGACCGTGAGCATTTCCTCTACATTTTGACCAGGGTTCGCTGTCCGTGTCGCCGCGGTCGTTGCTCATTTGAAGCGGAAGGCCGCCTGCCCAACAACGGCCGTTGTTCGGACATCATGTGTTCATGGGCATTGTGTCCATGTGTCACACAATTCCGGACGTCCAATATATCGATAGAGAGAGAGAGAGAACAACAACAAAATAACACAACGAAAGAGAGAGAGAGAGACATAAAACGAGAAAGAAAGAGAGAGAAATAGAGAGAGAGAGAGAGAGAAATAGAGAGAGAGAGAGAGAAAGAGAGAGAGAGAGAGAGAAAGAGAGAGAGAGAGAGAGAAAGAGAGAGAAAGGGAGAAAGAGAGATAGGGCTCGGGGTGTCTTTCAGGTGCAGCGTTAGGCAATGGGGATATAGGCTCAGGCGGGGGCGCGCTCCGACCCCCATTTGCCACTTCATCGCCAACGGTGGCCCAGCCCGCCGCCGCCCGCTCAAACTCGTAAGGTTTCGCTATCGGGGGCCGATCGCCGACCGATCGGCGATGTATCACCGATCACATCTCGATGTTCCGCCCCCCCTGAGCCTGCTCCCCTTACGAGGGTGACGACGACCACCACGACAACGACGACGATGACCACGACGACGACGGCGCCGCCGCCGACGACGACGAAGACGACGACGACGACGAAAACGACGACGAAGATGAGGCCCGCAGAGGCCCGCCACCAGGCCACCAGACGATGAGGCCACCAGGTCCCGCCACCAGACCCCGCAGCCAGGCTCCTTGCTCGAGGCCCCGCCACAAGACGATGAGGCCCGCAGCGGCCAACGGCAACACCAAGCTCAGAGAGGAGGAGGATGTGGAAGATGAGGAGGAGGAGGCCTCCTCCTCCTCCTCTTCTTCCCCCCCTCCTCCTCGTCCTCCTCCTCCTCATCCTCCTCATCCTCCATGTGCACCACATGAAAGTTGTTGTTACAGATGGTGAGGAGATCACTCACCAGCACCACCTGGTCCCACACAAAGGAGGTCAGTCCAGACAGCATCCTGTCCAACCAGGGGAGGGAGGAGAGGGATGATGGTGATGATGATGCTGATGCTGATGCTGATGCTGATGCTGATGCTGATGATGCTGATGCTGATGCTGATGCTGATGCTGATGATGATGATGATAATGATGATGATGATGATGATGATGATGATGATGATGATGATGATGATGATGATGATGCTGATGCTGATGCTGATGCTGATGCTGATGCTGATGCTGATGATGCTGATGCTGATGCTGATGCTGATGATGATGCTGATGATGATGATGATGATGATGATGATGATGATGATGATGATGATGATGATGATGATGATGATGATGATGATGATGATGATGATGATGATGATAGGAGTCCCGTCGGGTCCACGAACGTAAACCCGACGGCTTCGACCCTACGTCGCCTGGTTGCGCGAAACATCTCCCAGTCTTCGGGCGGAAGATCGCGCGCCCGTTCTTCTGCGAGATGCGCGCAAATATGCACCCACTGGTCCTCTTCCTGCTCTCGCTGCGCAGCGCGCAGACCGCGGCGGCGTCCAAAGGGGCGGCAGCGGCGATGGCTGATGGCGTGCTGTGGATCGCTCTCGCGTGTTTCTTGAGTGCCAGCGTCGCGATCTCCTCCGCCGCGTCTGCTGCGGCTTTCCGCGAGGCGAACGCCGTGGACCGCGCCGGGGAGGTGCTGGGCCTGACCCAGCAGGTGGCGCCGAGCCGCGACGTCACCCACTCGTCGGGCAGCAACCGCCTTCTCGTGGGCGAAAAGGGCGCTGCTTCCGTGGACAAGGTCCTGGCGCCCAGGGCCACCATGAGGGAGCGAAGTGAGTGGCGCTTCGCGGTGAGGGCTACTTCGGAGCGACGCGCGAGTCCTTCATATTGTTCCCGGGGGGGCAGGTGGCGCGAAAGCGCGAAGATGATCGCGCTTCGCGGAGCGCGAAGCGCGAAGATAGTTGCCCTAGGTGGATCAGGTCCTGGCGCTCTCCCTCCAGCTGCCCGCGCACGTTCTCGCCGTTGATGCGCCCCTGCTCGGCATCCGCGCGCGCCGCCAGGTTACCCTCAGCCTCGGGGGGCTCCGAGCCGGGGCCGCGGGCGCGCTGGTCACACGCTCGCTGGTGGCCGGCAGCCAGTTCTTGCAAAGCGCGGCCTTGGCTCGGCGACTGCAACGGGTGAGGTTAGGCCAGGGTGTGGTTTTTGCGATCGGCTGTCCTCGTCGGGCCTCCGCCGGGCTTGGCGGAGAGCTCTGTCGAGGTCCTCGCCCGCCACCAGGTTTTGCAAGCCGCACCCTTCGCAGTCCACACCTTTCGGAGCCGCCGACTGGCGCGCGCGCGCGTCGCCCTGCTTCCACACCCGGGCGGCCGTCGACGGGGAGGACTCGCTGCAATTCAGGGTCCACGGCCCTGGCGCGGGGTGCCGCGAGAGCACGCGGCATCCGAGGGTTTGTGGCCTCTCGCTGGGTGTCGCGTGCGCGGTCGGGCCAGTCTGCTGGCTGGTGCTGCTGCGCCGCCCAGCAAGGGGCACGTTGGGCAGGGCCTGCGGGATTCTGTCACCACCCATCCAAACCCCCCAACCCAAGCAGAAGGCTTCACTTTGCCCTCCACTTCCAGTGGGGAAGGGGGGGTCGGGGAACATTTAAAAAAACACATGGAACCCGTACCCCCCAACTCGAAATTCGGGTCTTCGGGTCTTCGGGTTGGGGTCGTCTGGTAGGCAATCATTCTTGCGGGATCATGCCATGGGGGGTTCCGCTGGCGGGAGAGTCGGGGCGCCTCGGGGAGACGATGCGCATCGCCTGGGTCGCAGCGGCGTCGTCCACGAGCTCCTGCCCCCGGCAGCGGCTCCAGCTCTGCCTGATACCTTCATTGGCGCATGCGGCGACTTGCATTGCCACAACTTGCCCTACTGTCAACCCGTATAGTATTAAGTCGGGCATGTTCCCCTACAGGAGGAACATTCAAAAATAGTCAAACCAAATCCTCTGGGGATGATTTGTTCTAGTATGTTTGATCATTTTTGAATATTGTTTGACTATCTTTCATTTGTCCTCCAACATCCGCATAATCCGCCTATAGGGAGACATGCCCGACCTAAGCATAGTAAGGATGGGTAACTTGCTCAAGGGTACCCTTGCATCCTTGCCTCCTCGGTAAATGTGTGCCACTCCCGCTGGCCGCGCCCCGCTCGAGAAGCTTCTGCATGGGCGTCCAAGGCCCATGCATCCTTCAGCGTGGCGCTCTTGGGACTGCTGGTCGGTGGCGCGCGGCCGCTCGCCCCGTGGCTTCAGGAGCAGAATCGTCACGCATGTCGCAGTAGTGTCAACAGTATTTTACTGCTGGCAGGGCTCTGGGCGGAGGTCATGTCCCTTGGGGAACGAACAATGTCAAAAACATAAAAACTCGGAGGTCCGCGCGGATTTCTCGGATCCGCGCTGGGGCACCCTGGCGGCGCCTCCGGCGCCGCCCCTGGTGCGCTCCGCGCGCTAAAGAGGAGGGTCGTGTGCGGATCCGAGAAATCCGTGCGGACCTCCGAGTTTGTTATTTTTATGTCAGTATTCGTTTCCCTATTCCTCCTCCTCCTCCTCCTCCTCCTCCTCCTCCTCCTGCCCTTTGCCCCCCCGTCCATCCCTCCTCGGGGTGACCCCCCCACCAGTGGAGGCGGGGCGCCGCGCAGAAGTCATGCGAGACGAGATCTTGCCATTTAAGGCATCGAGTCGGCGTCGAGCGAGGGGGGGAAGTGAGAAGGAGAAGGCCTCGAGGCTCGAACATTGAGGTTCGAACTTCGAGGCTCGAGGTTTTCGGGCGTTTTCGTCGGTTCTCGGCGGTTTTCCACCCTCGGGGTGCGTTCAAGCGGCTGCGCCTCGCCGAGGGCGTTCCGGGGGTGCCCGTATGGTCCCGAACGCTCGCCGGGGACCCGAGTTATGACCCAAAATCCACATACGGCGGCGAGCGAAGGGAAGGGGAAAGGAGAATGCCTTCTCCGAAGGCGGCGGGACTTCTCAGAAGCCCCTCGTGCCTTCTGAGAAGAGTTTTGTGATTTCGGGGAAGGCTTCGAAAACTTCTGAGGAGGCCCCAGGACTTCCGAGCCTTCTGAGCAGGCCCGCCTCTTCTCACTTCCCCCCAGGCTCGCCATCAATCTAGGGTTAGGTCGGGCATGTCTTTCTACAGGCGGATTTTGGACGAGAAATCAAACACAGTCAAGCAATATTCAAAATAGTCAAAGATAGTCGAAAATCTAGGGGAACATCCGTCGTCGACCCTGGGTTCCGTTGGGTACCCCGGGGCCCAACGGGCCGACCGGGAAACACGTGGAGTTCTCGTGGGGCACCCGTTGGCAGGCCGGTGCCTTATGTGGTGCACCAGTTGTAAAGAGCAGGCGACCTGTAGCAAACGAGCGCTAGATTCTATTAGGGGAACGAGCAATGACATAAACATAAAAACTACTCGGAGGTCCGCGCGGACTTCTCAGATCCGCGCTGGACCCCCCTGGCGGCGCCTCCGGCCACGCCCCTGGCGCGATCCGAGCGCCAGGGAGGGGGGTCCAGCACGGATCCACGAAATCTGCGCGTACCTCAGAGCTTTTATGTTTATGTTATCCGTAAGGGTTTCGCCCCATGCCGCCGGCCCCCTGTCTCGGATAATGGGAGATGCAAAAAGCTAAATCATGAGGTCTGGGCGCCGCCGTGAAGCAGTGTCGGGACCTGTTTGTTTTTCGATCCTGACCCTACGGATCTGCGTCACGGGTGTCACCGAATTTCAAAAATGTGGCAAATCCTTTTTGTTTTGGGACCCCTGACCCTGCGGATCTGCGTGAGGGGTGCCGCCGAATTTCAGAAATGTGGCAAATTCGGCACGAACGAAATGGGTACGGAAAGAATGGGTACAATACCCGACAGCAGTTTCTGTTCATTTTGACCAGGGCTCGCTGTCCGCGCCGCCGCGGCCTGTGTGCACTTGAGACAGAAGGCCGGCTGCCAAACAGCGGCCGCTGTTGGTTCGGGACAACATTTGCTGTTAGGCATTGTGCCCATTGTTTCCGTGCCCATTTCGGGTGTCCAAACGAATCCCTTGTTTTTTTTGACCCTGACCCTGCCGATCTGCGTGAGGGGTGCCGCCGAATTTTAGAAATGTGGCAAATCCCATGTGTTTTTGGACCCTGACCCTGCCGATCAGCCTGAGGGGTGCCATCGGATTTCAGAAATGTTACAAATCCCATCTGTTTTTGGACCCTGACCCCGCCGATCTGCGAGAGGGGTGCCAGCAAATTTCAGAACTGTGGCAAATCCCATGTGTTTTTGGACTCTGACCCCGCCGATCTGCGTGAGGGGTGCCACCGAATGTAAGAAATGTGGCCAATCCCATGTGTGGACCCTGACCCCGCCGATCTACGTGAGGGGTGCCAGCAAATTTCAGAAATGTAGCAAATCCCTTGTTTTTTTTGAGCCTGACCTCGCCGATCTGCGTGAGAGTTGCCACAGAATGTCAGAACTGTGGCCAACCCCATATGTTTTTGGACCCTGACCCCGCCGATCTGCGTGAGGGGTGCCGCCAAATTTAAAAAATGTGGCGAATCCCATGTGTTTTTCCACCCTGACCCCGCCGATCTGCTTGAGGGGTGCCACCGAATATTAGAAATGTGGCAAATGCATGTGTTTGTGGACACTGACCCCGCCGATCTGCGTGAGGGGTGCCGCCGAATTTCAGAAATGTGGTAAATCTCATGTGTTGTTGGACCCTGACCCCGCCGATCTGCGTGAGGGATGCCACCGAATGTCAGAAATGTGGCAAATCCCTTGTGTTTGTGGACCCTGACCCCGCCGATCTGCGTGAGGGGTATAAATTTTTACCCACCCCAGCAATTAAGACAACACGTTCAGGGCGTGGTAGAAATACCCGTTTTGGGCCTCCCCCCTCGCTCGGTCCATCAACAAGGAACAGTAAGCAGCAAGAAGCAGAACTGTAACAGTGGAAACTGGAAGCTGCAACTGGTACAGGAAACTGCGAACCCTCGTCCTACAGCCTGGTGGCCCCACAAGGGGGCCGGCGGATTTTTCGCTCCCCCATCTAAGCCTGCTAGAAGAGCTCGATGCGGAGGCCGATTTTCTCCACGCTGGCGTCGCCGATGCATCGCCGACGTCGCCAGTGCATCGCCGATGCGTCGCCGATGCATCGGCGATGCGGCGAGATCCTCCGACCCTATCTACTCGGACCCCATCCAGGCAGCCTCTGTAGACCCTGCGGCTCCCGCCAGGACCAGTTTTCCGGCCCGATTCCCCAGGCTCAGGAGGATTCTGGGGTCCTAGGGCCAGGCCCCCCAGGGTTGGGCGGACGTCACCTTTGGGGAGGGTGGGCCAATGAAGTGTGCCGTGCATGACCCCCTGCACTGCCACCCCGTGGTGCCCCGCGTCCAAGCCATGCGTGACAAGTTTCACAGTTTTTCGTCCACTGTACTTTCCGCCGTGGCCGTCCGTTTCGCAGAGACTGACAATGGCGAAATCTTCCCGGACCCGCGGGACGACGACGACGACGACGGCAACGACGACGACGGCAGCGACGACGACGGCGACAACGACGACGACGATGAGGACGACGACGGCGGTGACGACGACGACGAGAAGGCGAGGACGACGACGACGAGAAGGCGAGGACGACGACGACAACGATGGCGACGCGACGACGATGGCGACGACGACGACGGCGACGAGGACGGCGTTGACGACGACAAGGACGACGACGACGACGGCGACGACGTCAACGACGACGACGACGAGGACGATGACGACGACGACGGCGTCGACGACGACGACAACCGCGACGACGACGACCGCGACGAGGACGACGGCGACGACGACGACGACGACGACGAGAAGGCGAGGACGACGACGACGAGAAGGCGAGGACGACGACAGCGACGACGACGACGACGACCGCGAGAAGACGACGACGGCGAGAAGACGACCCCGACGACGTCGACCACGACGGCGACGACGACGACAACGACGGCGGCGACGACGACGACGGCAACGACGAGAAGGCGACGACGAGGACGACGACGACGACGAGAAGGCGAGGACGACGATGGCGACGACGACGACGGCGACGACGACGACGACGGCGATGGCGACGACGACGACGGCGAGAAGACGACGACGACGGCGGCGACGACGACGATGGCGATGGCGATGACGTCGATTGCGATGGCGACGACGACGACGACGGCGACGACGAATGTGCGCCGGCACGAGGCGCTGCACCTCCGGGCGGCCGCGAGTGGCGGCGCCGCCCAGCAGGAGGGGCCCTGGGCGGACGACGTCGACGACGGCGCCGACGACGACGACGACGACGCCGACTGCGCCAACGTCGGCGGCGGTGGCGCCGACGGCGGCGGCGGCGCCGACGGCGCCAGCGGTGGCGCCGACGACGATGGGGACGGCGGCGACGACGGCGACGACGACTACGACGATGACGACGACGACGAGAAGTCGAGGACGACGACGACGACGGCGTCGCCGCCGACGGTGGCGGCGGCAGCGACAACGCCGACAACGCCGGCGCCGACGACGACGACGTCGACGAAGGGGGCGACGAGGGCGGCGGCGGTGGCGCCGAAGACGACGACTACGGCGTCGACGACGACGACGACGACGACTGCGCTCGCCGGGCTGGCTTTGGATGGGGGCGTCTTGCGGGGTCGTGCGACGGGTGCGGGAGGCCCAGCACCTCACACAGGCGCCGCCGTGCCCGTGCGGTTGTCTCTGGCGACTGCCGCCGCTTCCTCACCTTTCGCCCGTTTTCTGCTCCCTCGCCGCTTCCCCATCATTCACCTTCGCTTCTCATTTCCCTTCTCGTGTCTTCCCTCGCATCTTCCTCCTCACCCTTCTCCTGTGCCCTCCCCCTCCTTTGGCCCCTCCTCCTCCCCCGTCGCCTCTTCGCTTCTCCTTTTTTTTCTGCCCATGTTTCGTCTCCTCCTATTCCTCCTCCTCCTCTTTTTCCTGACTCATCAAGGCGCGCGTCTGGGCGCCTCTCAACACTAAGCTATCTATGCAACTGTAATGATAGCAGCCACACGTGCTCCCTCAGGGAGCAGACCAGCTTCGAGTCGCCTGAGGGCTCTCAGCCCATGCGTCCCAGCTTTCTTGCAGGGGGCAAACAAACTCTTTAGCTGCCTGGCAGAGAAAGACCCGCACACCATGCAAGCAAATGAAGGATTATTCTGCGCCCACAACGAGGGCACCGTATCAAGAGCAACCAACTTATGCGGTCGCTCCCCACTCGCTTCGAGTTTCTTTGACGCACACACAGCTTTGGAGACAATTGAGCCAGGACACGCAGGCTGGCCTGGCTCAGAAACACGGCAGCAACGGCACCAGCGGCTACCGTCAGGACCATACCAATCATGCTCGGAAATCGGTCGCTCGGGCCGAATCGGGCCAATCGCACGCGGCCGAATCGGTCTCGCCGACGGACGACTGGCCACACAGTCACGACTATTCACCTCGGTCCCGACAGTGCCAAGCCAGTGAGCAACACGCTCCACCATCGCACACGACTTCAGCCGCTTCTTGCGAACCTCGGCAGGGATACGAAACCTAGAAGCAGAGTGCTTGGCCCAGAAATCGGCCTGATGATTCCCGAAACGGTCGCGTCTCGAGACCTGTCCCGACTCCACGGCCTGGATGGGCAGATGCGCTTTAATCTTCCGCACCACCACGCCGTTTTCACCGAGACCTCCAAATTCCTCGAGAAGCGCCCAGAACTGCTTCCAAAGACAGGCCCAAGCACTACAATACGCTGTGGTCCTCGCAGGGCCACGCTCATAAACTCCCTCAAAAACAAAGTTACTATCGGTCACCGCCTCGATGGGAGGCACGGCAACTCTCAAAAGCTGAATGAGAGCAGTCAACTCAGCGCCGTCAATGTCACGGACAGGGCCCTCGCACGCTCCATACACAACATCCAGTATTCCGAGCGGCTCCGACGCGAGAGTGACGATGGCCCAACCAGCCACGGTCCCCGCGGCCCAGTCCCCTTCAAACACAGAACCATCGATAAACGCCTCACTAGCCTGAATCACTCCTGGCCCGTCATGACGTCGCCACACGATATGAGAATCACTAGGCGGCCTCCAACCAGCGGGCACCTGCGTAACTTCCCACAATCCTCGTTCCAGCAGCAGCGTCACAGCAGGTTCGTCCGCTCGATCGGTGAGTACGCGAAACTCTGACGGCATCGGTACACGATCGGCGCCCTCGCAAAAGAAATGACGGTGGAGGAGCGTCCCCCTGCCGTCGCACAATAACCATTGCTCATCTGACACACATCCTGCCTCATGCTTCCTAGCCATCGGCCACTGCCCATTGACAAGCACTGATCTCAGGTACCCCTTTTGCATGCAGTCCAAACGCGGCAGGTGTTTGCATTCCTCCGACATACAACGGCCCGTGGACAGGAGAGAATAGAGCGGCTCCCACACAGCACCTTTAGAGAGATGAGCAAGAGTCTCATCCATAGACAAATACATCCACTGCCATGCCAAGACTGCCCTCTCCAGCAGCTGCGTGACATACCACGGACTCACATCCTGCACATCAATCACATCACCTTCATGAGTAACCCAGCGAAACGGAGTAAGCACAGTCCATCCCACCCGTTCTAAGGAAAGCCTGACGGCTCCACAGGGACCTTGAACCTGTGTCCAGTGCACGATTCCATGACAACCCAACATAGAAGCTTCCAGAACACGACTGGGCACCCAAGCCTCCCACAATGCACGTACAAACGTGACAATAGGTAACAGAGTGGCCCTATACAGCGGGTCCAACTTGCCATGGCACAAAAACGTCAACGTTCGACTCTTGCCTGCCGTACGGGGCTCGATCGCAGAGAAGGCAAGAGCCCTAGCAGATTCCAGCTCACCAGCGTTGCACCCAGTCACTGACATGCCATAAGAGTAGCTCGACTCTATCCCAGCCCGAGCAATACGCGCCGCAACAAGACGCTTCTTGGATCCAGTCCAAAACTTCCTCATGCGCCGAACCTTGAGTCGAGCCTGAGACACCTTCGACTTGCGAACCGTACGAGCAATACGTCGTCCTGCAGTGTAATCAACTCCCAAATTCCTCTCATGCGACACAGCTACAGCGCCTGTGGCTCGAACCAGTTGAGCCGCAATCTCCGACCGCGCCGACGAGTCATTAGAAAGCGCCCTCGTTTTGTCTGTGTGTACCTGCAAACCAAACTCAGCTAGAACTCGTTGCAAATCTTTGGTGGCCTGCACAAGCTCACGACACACGCGATCACGACCGCCAGCGCGTTGCATCAGCAAGTCATCGACCACAACCATGGGCATGACCGCACGGTGCAGCGCATACACCTGATCCAGGGGGAGGATGAGCGCTAACTTGAGCATCGTTGTCGCCCACCCATCCCATGGCAGGATAGTTTGCTCAGTGACGGTGCCCTCAGACACCACAGATCCAAATGCCAGAAACCGCTGCATGCGATAGAGCTCGACCTGGAGCTTCAACTGCCATAGAGGGAACCCCGTATGCACAGCCGCCTGGAGAAGAACGTGGTGCTGGACTTGTTCAAAGGCCTTCAGGAGATCCAGGAGAACCTGAGCAGAACACCAGAGGCCCGAGCAAGACCCAGCCTCCCGAGTCTTACGCGTGGCCCACTCTGACCAGGCCGTCTGCTGCCAAACCGCTCTCTCGCAGGATCTCCCCGCACAAGCCCAGAAGTACGAACGCTGATTGTTCTTCTCCCAAGACAGCGCCAGGGGGCGACGGAGTCGAGCCTGAATGCGAGCCAGAACATGGATGAGTGCAATCGGTCGAACTCCGCCAAGCCTCTTCTGTAGAAACGCAATTTTGGTGCAGAAATGCGGCCACTGCGCTGAAGCCTCCACGGCCATAGGGAGGTCCAGTAGACATTCCAGAGCCAAGTCGTCTAGCTCCAGGAGCTGCCGCGGCCTGATAGAATCAAACCCAACACCAGAAGCAGCCTTGAACGTCCGCACACTTGGCCTGGCAGGCCTCTCTCCCAACTGCTCTGGCCACAGCACACATTGATGCCATTGCCCCACCTTCCACCAGCGAGACCACTCAGCCTGAAGCATAGACATCTCACGCTGCTTGTGCACAGGGAGATGAGCTCGCTCCTTATCAGGCGCACGTGGAGACCACGGGACCTTCTCACGCGTGATGGCGAACAGGCCCCCAGCACCCTTGCCCGCCTGAGACGTGACCCACTTGCGAAACTCACTAGCACGATGCTTCATGTCCTTCTCCGCCAACTGGGCAGCAGTCAACTTGACGGCACTTGCTAAGATCTGCACAGCCCATATTGCAAAGTCGCTCAACGGAAGCAGCGAAACATGGCACCACCAACGACCAACAGGACTGTCGGGAACAGACATCACCGCCGCGGGCGCCTTGCAAAGCAACTTCCGTGCAGACGTGAGAGCCCGCAAACGAGTCGTGGGTTGCTGCCAGCATGCCGCGAACTGTAGAGCCGCCCCCAGACTGCGTAGCCACGACACTGCTGGTGACACACGAGGAAACTTGGGCGGCATCGGAGGTAGAGAATCGACCCATTTTGGCTGCACGGACCGATCCCTTCCACACATCTTCCGCGCATCATCTGGAGACACCTGGTACACATCAACCCACTGCCGCTCAGCTGCTGCCGCAAAGGTCTCCCAGCCCCGAGACAAGCGCTCCTGTGATACCTGTCCTCGCGGCATAAACTGGCGCACAGTGCCCCACATAACCTCAGTATCGAAGGACGAACATCCCAGCGGTCGTACGTCGGGAAATAGACGAGGCACAGGCATCACTCGCATCTTGGGTCGGCCAACAGAAGACGCCAACTGCAAGCTGACAGTCACGCGCGGGCTCAAGGGGACCTCCGGATGTAAAGAGACAGAAGACACCTCAAGCCCCTCAGACACAATGAAGAAGTCGATATTACGCCCTGCTGGAGCACACGTCCCCGAGACAGGCTCGGCAATCACAGCATCAAACCAGTCCATCACACCAGCTTCGCGCAGATCATCTGGCTCATTGTTGAAGTCACCCGCGATGATGTAAGGACGCCCAATCATACGAACACGTTCAGCAATTAGAAACAGTATCTCCAGATTTGCCGCTGCCATGCCTATCCTGTCATGCAGGTACACGTTGACCAAGATAACACCTGCGCTGGTAAACCCAGAGTGCAGATAGTACGCAGCTCGGCCAGGCACAATGATGGGCTCAACACCTTCCACCACGCCCAGACCATACTGCTGAGCGCACATGCAAAGTACGCCACCACTACCAGAACCTCTGCGACCCGCAATACACTCCACAGCAGGAGAAAATGCGCAATTCCAGCCAGCCACACGCATGCGACTGGACTCGTCTTCACATCCTTTAGCGCACAAATGGGTCTCCTGAACAAGAATAGCATCAGACTGTTCCAGAAGCAGCTTGCGCACATCAGCATCATCAGAGGCCTGTAGATCCACGAACGTGGAGAAGGTGTTGACATTCATAGTTAGCACCTGCCAGACCTTCGGGTCAGGAACGAGACCCAGTATCACCATCATGTGCAGCACGAAGCTTCTTGCTGGCCTCGTCACGGAGCTCTTGAATGAGCCTCTTCTTGTCGGCGTCCGTGATCGGGAAGTCAGGTGACAGTCCGTTGACCATGCTGTCCCACTCGGCGTCCGACAGGCCGCTGGCCCG